AGAGAGAGAGAGAGAGAGAGAGAGAGAGAGAGAGAGAGAGAGAAGAGAGGAGAGAGGAGACAAAGACAGGGGGATAGCGAGAGCGAGAGAGAGAAAACTGAAGCCTTTTTATTTGTTTAGGTGATATGGTGAGCTGGTCATAGTCCTTCAATGACTATATATATATATATATATATATATATAGATATATTATATATATAATATATATATATATATATATGTGTGTTGTATATTATATTGATATGTATATATGTATATGTATATATGTATATATATATATTGTATATATATATATATGTATATATATATATATATATATATATATATATATATATATATATTATATATAGATATATACAACTGAAGCCTTTTTTATTGTTTAGGTGATATGGTGAGCTGGTCATAGTCCTTCATATATATATATATATATATATATATATATATATACATATATATATATATATATATATATATATATATTATATATATGTATATGTATATAGATATATATCTCTTTTTTTATGTAAATAACAAACGAAAACCTTTTTGTTTTGAGGTGACCAGGCCGTTGCTTCAACTGATTTGCATGCATCGTGGGCAAGACGAAGATGAAGTGTGCGCCTAAGCCAGACAGAGGATGCTGGTTCACCAGCATATAGCGGCTTGTCATTGATTCTCAATTGGACTGCGCGTATCGCTATGAGAGATGCAGGTCTGCTTCCAATTTTGGTTTGGTATGGACTAGAGGTGTTGACGACAATTTTAGTTCGTTGGAATGAAGGAGAGTGAATAGTATTTAGACAAAGCTGCTCGCTTGCGGGGGTCCTCTGCCGAGACTCCGCCGTGACTTCTGTGCGGGATGTGTGCTCGGCCTTCGGACGGGTCCTCACCTGAATGCACTTAAATCTGCGCATGTGCGCAGGCAGCCTTCCCCAGAGAACTGGGGTGTCGCCAGGATGCAGGACGAAGAAAGACTGAGATACGAACGGCGGATGCTTGTTTCTAATGTCTACCTGAATCCGTCGTTTTCAGGGCTACCTGCCGTCCTACCCGCCCGCCTGTCTCTTGTTGGAATGGCATGCGAGGTAGTTTCCGTTAAGCCATGTGACGTGCTTCTGGGCAAATGGGATTTGAGTACTGTTGACTTTTAGATCAAACTGACGGGCGATTTTGCGTGGCAGGAGTGTTTGCAGAGCTGCGCGGGCGGTGGCGAAGGAGGAGCCATCTGCCGGCTGCCCGTAGAACCCGGCAGCACCTGCAGGGGTAGACTGCGCCGCTGGGCGTTCAGCACTGACACCGGCCGATGCGAGTGGTTCTTCTACACGGGCTGTGACGGCAACGCCAACAATTTCGAGTCGCGCGCGGAGTGTCAGTCTCGCTGTGGCGGGGACGTTAGCCAAGGTGAGGCTTACAGAGCGGGGCAGGGGGAGAGAGAGGCAGAGCGGGGGAGGGTGCAGATGTGCTGGTCGCCTTCTTACCACGGCAGCTCGTGTGTTCCTCTCCATGTACGGGCGTGAATAACCCACTGCTTCTACGTTCACCATGTGAATGAAAATATTGCCCCGAGGCTTTACCTAGAAGAGGAAGCTCTTGTGCAGCTGTATTTATCGAGTGCTGACCAGCATGTCTTACTCCCTATTACATGAACGAGCAAAAACAGTCAGCCAGCCCTTTTCATGCCGCCCTTTTTGTCGCCCTGGCGTGGGAACTATAGTCACATATAGTCAATACTACCAAGGCCAAAGTGGTTTCCTCTCCTTTTTTGGAAAAAAATTGTCTTGGCTATTGCGTGTTTACCAGTCTTTTCAGTAAGCACCAGTTACTTACACAGTAAGCACCAGTAAGTCTGTACTTAACGGCTGACCAATCCTCTTGCTGTGGAAACTACCCACGCAGTCGGTCAACGGCTCCGTTCTTCCCGCCTTCTCTCACCCGGCGGTGGACTCACCTACTCGGTCGTCTAGTGGACTCGCCCTGTGCTGCTCCACTCGGAGCTCAGCTGCGCCGCCGCTGCCACCAGGCGGCGAGGACCGCGGTCCGCCGGAGTTCTGTCAGCTGCCGCCGCGCCGCCTGCTGGGCTGTCGGCCGTCAGGCGGCGAACAGCGCTTCTACTTCAACCGCGAGCGCCGCTCCTGCGACAGCTTCACCTACCGCGGCTGCGACAGCGGCGACAACATGTTCCACAGCCGGGAATCTTGTCTCTCCGTCTGCGCGCCCGGGGAGCGCGGTGAGTGCAGAGGAGGCAGAGGGGGAGGGTTAGATCGCTGGAGTGAGAGTTGGGTCACGGGTCGGAGCCATCCGTTCGGTGTGCTCTCTGTTGACTGAAATGTCTGCTAACGGCGTTATCTCCGGAACCGGCTGACTTGTAAGGGCAGTGCAGCCGTTCTCGCTGTCCGTCCCAATAGCGTGGTTGGTTAGAGCGTCTATCTTCCGATCTACCCACCCGTGACGGGGGGCGGGGGGATTCGAGCCGCTTTAGGTTCTCGCTATTTGCTGTTGACAGGAATGGCCGGTGGCAGTGGCCACCCTAAAGGTTAAGTGACGTCAAAGATCGTGACGAACCGAGCGTAGCATGGCGGTGCGTTAAGCTTTCCTCCTCTAATTCTGCCGTTGCCCTGGATTTACGATCTGGTGTCGGGGCTAGGGCTCACGCAGCGAGCACTGGTGGCATGAACTCTGATCACAGACATACATTCAGAAGGCTCGGACAAAATATTTTACAAAGAGCTGCCAGGTCATCAGTCAAGCTCGTTTATATATACAATGAGTAGACCAGGTAGTCAATGCAGGGGGCCTTTTGGGTCGTGGCCATTTGGAGGTGGCGGCGGGGTTCCCTGGAGCCGAAAGCCCGAGCACGTTTTGGCAGCTTTAGACGCGCGGAGTGGTTTTGATATGTTTAAAAATGACGCTGGCCGTCAGAGCATTAAAATGGGCCTCGAACCTAACAGCGTCTCCAAATTCAAAAAATGGTTCAATATTGCGACAAAGTGGTGCAACCTGGCTGAAACAGCGCCATATTTTACGATCTGGCTCATCCTGGGTAACATCCTGGTCACATCATTAAAGGTGTGACTTATGAGTGTATGTACTAAAACCCTGAACTGTTAGTATACGGAGGAGCCGAGCTTCTTCCACAGTGGATTAGCTTTGCATCTCATGGCTGAAAATATATTCTGTTTATGTTATGTATGTGTATGAAGTATCATAGGTACATTCATATGCATGTATACATGCAGGCATGTGTGATACCTACAGCATGCATAGAGGTATGGAGGGTGCCCTCAGAGGAAGCTCATGCCGAAGTTCTACATGTGACATTGGAAGTGCACTACACCAGTATCGAACTCTCATTTTGTGTTGTCCACAGGTGAAAGAGAGGACGAAAGACCGCAGTTCTGTCGAGTCCAACCGGAGGATATTGCAGGATGTCGCCCTGGCAGCCGGGAGACCAAGTTCTACTTCAGCGCCACGGCCGGCAGATGCCGCTCATTCGAATCGGTCGGCTGCGAGCGAGGCAGAAACGTGTTCCTGACGCGAAGGGAATGTGAACAAGCTTGCGGCGACCGCGATGCCGGTGAGGGAGGGGCAGTGGGAAAAACCCAAAAGAGCGAAATGGGGTGGATCTTGCAACGATATCCTCGCAAGGAAACCAATTGACCGCCATTTGAAGATATATTTGGACATACATATTAGACAACTCAACCGTTTTCACTGCTAAGTATACAGCTGCTTACGTGTTGTGTGCCCATCAGGTGGTGAAGTTGAAAACCAGCCCCGGCTCTGTCGTGTTGAGCCCGAAGAGGACCCCAACTGCCGCCCTGGTCGCCGCGAGACCAAGTACTACTTCAGCACTGCCGTCGGCAGATGTCGCTCATTTGTGTCCGTTGGCTGCGAGCGTGGGAGAAACGTGTTCCTCACCGCTCGGGAATGCGAGGAGGTGTGCGAGAACCGAGACACAGGTGAGAGCGACCGTGAGTCTCTTTCCTCAGATTGGTGTTGGTTTGATAAGAGCCTTCTCGGTCACTAATGATCATTTCGGTGCCACGAGATGAAGGCAAGTGGATACTGGTGGGACAACACTGCATCCACTGCGGGTCCTCCGCCAAGGCTCGGTCCGCACAGGGAGCCCCGTTCAGGATACGTGCTCTGCCCTCACACTGGGCACCCGCCAGGGGGCCCGTCCTACTGCTAGGTGCGTGTAGCCTAGGTGCGTGTAGCCAGCTCTGGATAACTGGGGTGTCGTGAGGAGGCAAGATGAAGCTAGACAAGGGAAGTACAGCACATAATCTTTTTCATCGAAGTGTAGGCTGATGTAGCGCATCGTCTTACCCATCCAATAAAGGCCTCATTCGCTTCCAACGATGATGGTGCAACGACTAGCTTTTTGCGCATTTGGTCCGTTAATTGCTCTAAAATCGTTTTTTCAGATAATGGTGGCGGCGGTATCCCGCAGTTTTGCCGCGCAGAACCCGAAGATGATCCGAACTGCCTGCCTGGTGACCGCCAGACCAAGTATTACTTCAGCGCTGCCGTCGGTAGATGTCGCTCTTTCGTATCGGTCGACTGCGAGCGGGGCAGAAACGTGTTCTTGACGCGGCGGGAGTGCGAGCAGGCATGCAGTGGCCGTGACGAAGGTGAGGAGGGCGTCCGGCTGTTGACCGGTGCAGGACTATCGCGCATCTGGCAGCGCTGCCGAGTGCTTCGGTGGGTTTGGGAGTGGGGACATTGTTAGATGGAGACAGTCTGGCTCCAACAGCAAGCTGCAGTTCAATCACGGCGCAGCAAAATGTGTAATGATAGGATTGTTGCAGAGCTTTAGGTACCTACGCAACAAAGCACGCTTTTCATTTTGAAAGCCATCAATGTTATGCCATGCGCTATTATCACCGCCTGGATACCGGCTCGGCTCGTCTATTGCGCTACAACAGCAGTGCGCATGCGCGGGCGTCTAACTAAACGCTGCACGCCTCGGCGGTCTTTGGCACGTGTCAGTTGCTGACCTGTCAGGTGACCTGACCGTTTAGCTGACCTGGCGCTGGAGGTCTATATTATAACATGTCTTACATAACATGATCACAGAAAAGACAGACGGCAATCACAATTCTCGAATTTACTGTACCGCTGCAGTTCGACCTTGGGATGCCAAATGTACGGGCCCACATACCATGGCCCAACTTTTGTTTATTCAGGTGGTGGTGAGAGGCCCCAGTTCTGCCGTGCCGAGCCCGAGGCCATCTCCAACTGCCGGCCTGGTGATCGTGAAACCAAATACTACTTCAGCGCCGCTGACGGGAGATGTCGCTCCTTCGTGTCGCTCGGATGCGAACGAGGCAGGAATATGTTCTTCACAATGCGGGAGTGTAGGGAGGCTTGCGATGCCAGCGACACGGAAGGTGGGCATTCTTGGTGTAAAATGTTCAACAGCTGACATTTCAGTCCGGAGTGCATCTGTTGTTGTTTATGTGTATGCATGCCCCTCCTGGTGGTTTAGCCATGGGCCCTCTTCCAAAACAAGACAACAACAAAAAACACTGTAGACCAATTTGGCGGTTCTAGTGGCAATACCCGCCATACTGCACACTGCGATAGTCAGTCAGCTACTGACGGAATTTAGACAAGATCTTAAAAGAAACGCAGCCCAGTTCGGGCATCCATAACAAACCACGCCGTCTTCGTTTTGTGGGATACAAGTCTTTGTGATCCTCGTCGTAGTTTACTAGCTTCGCATTCCGTACTACGTTGAGTCGTGCGAGGTTCTTCGTTCTGTGGCCACAACATCAACTAAATCGGAAAGCCCCATATCTAACCTCTTTGGTACCTCTTTTTTTCCAAAATCAGCCAAATTATTCGTGAGTGCATGTAACGATTATGTACGGTTTTCAGTGTAGCTACATTCCACGCCACTAGAAGAACCATTCATCGCGGACCTTTCAAAAAATTATGGTATACCGTAAAGAATGACACATTAAATGAAAGGCGCACATACACTATTTCTGATCAGTGATGTACGCACACGAGCCGCCACGGTCGTCTGAACAGACAATATGCAAAGTTGGCTGCACCCGGGTAATATCGGCCCAGTTCCAACACGGTCCGGTGTACGAGCTGCCGTTGCCTGCCTCTTCAATGTCTGCCTCTCCACCAGGTGCTGGCATGTGCTTGCTGCCGTCTGACCCGGGCCCGTGCGCCGCCTTCGAGACGCGCTGGTACCGAGACCCGGCTTCGGGCACCTGCGAGACCTTCCAGTATGGCGGCTGCGAGGGCAACAGCAACAACTTCCTGACGCGAGCGGAATGTTTAGAGCGCTGTCAGAACGACAACCGGGCCGAGAACGAGATCTGCAACCAGGTGAGAACGGGAGTAGAGCGCAGCTGCGGGCAGACGACGAAAAAAGCGAGAATAAGACTAAAATTGGGTGAAACCGAGGTGAGAATTTGCCAGAAACCAGGTAACTACAAAACGGCAGCAGATTTATAGCCTGTGACAGGCAGAAGCAAGATGATAAGAATATATGCGGCCGGATGAAAACCAGACAGGAATAAGTCTGCTAGGAGGTAACAACGAGACAAAAACAAAAATGTGACTCGCTGAAAAAGACATCAGGCTGGCATTTTCAGCCAGGTAAAAGCGAGACGAGGGTCCGGGGGTCGGTGAGGACCACAAGAAACAAGCCGCCATCGTGAGATGTCAAGACGAGAGCGGTATGTGTGCCAGGAAACTTTGCGTCCCATCAGTCTCACCCGGGACTGAGAAGCGCAGGCCGGAGAACGGATGCTGCCGGAGTCTTTTCGTTCTTTGCATATTGCTTACCGCACCTAATGCGATCTACAACCAGTCGTTAAAGCCAGTTGCCAGCTGTGCGCGACTTCCAAGTTTCCAAGTTACTATAACCTGGCCTGACCTTTCCCGTAGACAGCGGAGACGAGCGACACCAATCATGCCCACGCAAAATTATCTCTTTGACCTGACTTGACCCGTCCGCGGCCACCGGAGACGAACTGCCGTCCGTGCCGGGTTGAGGCGACCGCTCATATCTGACCTGATCTGACCTGATTTGATCTTATTTGACCTGGCCTGACCTGTCCGCAGCCGCCGGAGACGAACGAACGGCGGTGCCGGGACGAGGTGACCTCTCTTGCTTGGCCTGAGCTGATCTGACCTGACATGACTTGTCCGCAGCCGCCGGAGACGAACGACCGCCCGTGCCGGGACGAGGTGACACGCTTCTTCTGGGACCTGGCCAGCGGCGCGTGCCGCTCCTACCGCTACTCGGGCTGCGGCGCCACGGCCAACAACTTCCGCTCGCTGCGGGACTGCAGGACGGCGTGCCGGGGACGGGACTCGGAGGGCGGCCGGCCGCCGACGCAGCAGCGCTGCCTGGAGGCGCCCGAGGAGAAGCCGGCCGACACGTCCAGCTGCGGCCGCCAGCAGAAGCGATACACGTGAGAGGAGGACGGGGAGGGCGCAGAAGAGGTGGGGTGGCAGGCAGGGACTGGGCAGGCACAGGTGGTTGGCCGACATGAGCGAAGGTCTCCTGAAAGTGTGGGACGGGTCTTTGTGTGGCTTTGTTCGATCGGCCTGGGGTGCTTGATCACGGGGTAGTCTTCCACGTGTGAGACGTTGGCGCGGGAGTGAGTCTTCGCAAGGTTCGCTGACGTTCGTATTTAGCATTATGCTGAACCGATATAAATTTGTATTACGAGAGGTTAAGTTTTCAAAATTTCCCGGGAAATTGGGAAATAGCATGTATATTTGTGACTACCCAGAATGCATCAGCGCACAGGCACAAATTAGGTACATAGGCAACTTTCACACATCTCGCCTAGTTTCCTTGTAGCTCAAAGCATCTGGAAGGAAAGAATACCGTTTCCCTGTCTTCACAGAGTCGTTAAAGTGACTACTAAATTATTTGCGTTGCAGGTATTCGAGTCGTCAGGGATTCTGCGTTCCGTTCACATATACGGGTTGCACTGAAACAGGCAATAACTTCATGACCAGGGAGGAGTGCAGGGACACATGCCAACCGAGAGGTAGGTGCTGACTTCAGCTGGCTGTTATGCATCCCATTTCACTTTGACTGACTCCGTTGCCAACTTAGCTCTTGCATTATCCCATTTAGCTGTGTTCGCGCCTGCACGTATTGAACTCTTATTGCTTCACAGAGAATGTTTAACCTTCACAATTTCGTCTTATGTATAATGGCTGCTATTGGACAATACACCCGAAATGTGATGGCTACATCCTCACAGTTGCATCCATGACGTGAAAGTCAGGTCATGTGTAACGCGACATGTGCAGTGTCAACCTGATAAGTGCTATCTAATCCAATGGAACGTTATGTTCACCCAATGCGACCCACCATTTACATAATACAACGTCTTTACTTGCTGCATAGATTGGAGTAAAATCAATCACCTCCCCCGCTCCCCTTAACGGGTCAATTAATCTTTTCTACCGTGCACCAATCCACCACTACGTTTCTTACAGAAACAGTCGACCTCTTCCAAACGTTGCATGCACAGCTCTCACCTTATATTTCTTCCAACCATCTCAGGACCGATCCATGGCACCAACGCCATCAAAGAAGATAAATGTCTCTATCGTCCGCTTTAAACCAGTGACACCTTCCTCTCGTTGTACTGAGACCAATTACATTTTCACCCACGCCATATCGGCAACACCGCTGCCCTCCTCTACAGACCAGCAGTAACTTCCTCTGTCCACGCCACACCAGTGGCAGCCCACACGACCCCCGCCGCACACCCTCCGCCGCACACCATTGGTAGCCTGCACACCCTCCGCCGCACACCAGTGGTAGCCCACACATCTTCTGACGCACACCGGTGGTAGCCCACACACCCTCCGCCGCACACCATTGGCACCCCGCCCATCCTCTGCGGTACACCCGGACACCTCCCACCTCCACTCTACATCAGTGGTACCGCTCCTGTCTACTATGGACCACTTACACCCTCCCCTCCATTCCAGACCAGTGGAACCTGTCCTACCATCCACTAAAGATCAGTGATACCCTTCTCCCTTCACAGAAGACCAGTTCCATCATACCGCCGTCGCAAAGCGGTGATCCCGTCCCCTCGGCCACAGACCACTGACCCCGTTCCCTCCTCTGCAGACTAGTGACCCCGTCCCCTCCTCCGCTGACCAGTGGCCCTGTCCCTCCTCTGCAGACCAGTGACCCCGTCCCCTCCTCCGCTGACCAGTGGCCCTGTCCCCTCCTCTGCAGACCAGTGACCCCGTCCCGTTCTCCGCAGACCAGTGACCCCGTCCCTCCTCCGTAGACTGGTGACCCCGTCCCTGTCCCCTCCTCCGCTGACCAGTGGCCCTGTCCCTTCTTCTGCAGACTAGTGACCCCCCGTCCCCTCCTCCGCTGACCAGTGGCCCTGTCCCCTCCTCCGTAGACTGGTGACCCCGTCCCTGTCCCTTCCTCCGCTGACCAGTGACCCCGTCCCCTACGCCGCTGACCAGTGACCTCGTCCCCTCCTCGGCAGACCAGTGCACACAGCGGCAGGAGTCGGGCCGCTGCGACGGCCGACTGGCGAGGTTTGCGTACGACCCGGCGGCCAACCGCTGCCGCCGCTTCACCTACTCGGGCTGCGGCGGTAACCAGAACCGGTTCAAGTCGGAGCGCGCATGCCTGCTGAGCTGCGGCAGCGGCGCCGCCGTCGACAGCCAGGAGGTGTGTCTGCTGCCGCCCGTCGAGGACGGCGCAGTCAACTGCGGGGTCCGCGAGTCCAGGTGAGCGTCGGCCCTCCGGCCAGGCCGCGAGGCAGGGGGGGGGGGGGCGGAGGCGCTGGCGGGGCTGGGGGGAGACAGTTGGGGGCGAGGTGTTGGGTGGCTCATGAAGCTTTTGAGCGATTAGATGTACCAGAGGGGATGGGACAGGATGAGGAATGAGAGGTTGGGTGACCGTTGTGAGGTTCTCAGAACTCAGATACGGTAGGTCCTGTTGAGATGCGGGAGACTGGGCAAGGAGTCGTTCGCCTTCATATCTGAGGAGCTGTTGGTGTATGATGTACGGTAGCGTCTGGGAACCGCACGGCAGGAGAGCCTTTGAGACCCTGGGAGACAGGTGAGCAATGGCGACATCGGTCATCAGATGCAACGTTGATATATTGCTCACGTTAACGGCCTGGGTGAACTACTTTCTCGTAACGTTTGTCGAGGCTTTCCCCCATGTCAACCGACGACTTACGGAGCGTTAGTCATCACCCGTGACCCGGTCCGAGTCGAAATAGCCGAGGCACTTGGCATGGTATGGGAACTGAGGCAGGACATCCCACGCCCGGGTCGACCCACCTGAGTAATGGGTCACAGCGTCTGAGAAGCGCGTCAGAACATCTGAGGAGTAGTCACGGCGTCTGAGGACCGGGTCACGGCGCCCGAGGACCGGGTCTGGACATCCGGGAGCCGCGCGGCCGCACCTGCTGACCTCTGAGAGCTCGACGTAACCGTGAGGCGCCGCCGCCTCCGCTCGGTACCCCGCGCACGGCCCGGCCCGATCGCACCCCCGCCTGCTGGGGAATGGGGAACGGAAGTCGGAGAGGACGAGGGGGTCTCAGCTGCGTGCTGACGGTGCACACCAGCTGCTGGCGCCTGACCTTGCAATGTGCACTGTTCTCAAGCACGCCAGGAAGGCGATGTGGGGGGGAGAGCATGTTGTATATACACCGGTCACGCCCACTGGGCGGAGGACGTGTTTACCGTAGGAGCGCATTACGTATACTCGTCTGCCAACACCAGCCTCACACTCCCTCTCGTGAAAAGAATACAATATACAAGTTCACGCACCACCGCGCACAACACCACTGGTGCGTGCATTGGCCCACTTCTTCCGGTCCCCCAACTGCAGCATTAAGTGTGGAATTGAGCAGCGTTAAGCGGCGAAACCGGTCGCGCGCCATGTGCCCCGTGTTTGCTGTCCGGTCACACGAGCAGGTGCAGCGATGACAAGGTCGGCGTGTTGATGTCGCAGGTATTTTTTCGACTCTGCGTTGGGCCGCTGTGTCTCGTTCACGTTTACGGGATGCGTGCCGACGGAAAACAACTTTCTGAACCTCGCGGACTGCCAGCAGATGTGCCAGGCCGAGGAAATGCCACAGCTCAGTGACAGAGGTAAGGCTTCCGAGCCTACGATGGCAAACAAGCCCGGACATACTCGGTGGTCATTGACTCGCCGCGTGCTGCAGCTGCCGTGCTGTCTTGAATTTTGGTCCGCCTCCCAGGATTGTTGTTGACGAGTTTTCTGCAGAATCCACACAGCATAAGATCTAGTATAACCAGCATCGTCTAGAAGCGTCTTCCATAACAGTTGACGGTGAGAGTCGCATCGGTCACTGTGACCCCCGATCCCGTGTTGTGCTGTCGTGCGCGGAAGTTGACCGCGTGTTGGGCACTCTGTGGACGGAGACATGACGGGCTGAGCATCCGCCCGCTCCGTCTCACCACCGTGTTATTGCTGCCTCGAGATATCCGAGAGATGTTCATTCGTAATGCATCGCAGCTCATCCTGGTCATAGGATCGTATGGAGGAGAATGGATCATTGTTCTTTTGGATCCAAATCTAGTGCATTTCTGCACCATGAGATGCGCTGCGTTGCTGTGTGTTTGAGCACGAGCCTAAAACAGAAATGTTGAAACCGATAATAGGCACGCTGGTGTTTCATGGGGCCAACCGCTATTTGATTTGAAAGCGTCACAGTCTTCAGATGTCATGACGAAGCTACTGCGTAGGTCGCCTTTGTTTGGATCGTTACGTTTGATTTACAGCTCGACGGTCGGCATGCTCCCGAGCATATCCAAACGATATTTATTCGATTCAACCCTTCCCCCTCCCCCCCCCCCCCCCCCGCCTCACTATGACCCTTCCTCCTCGTGCAGAGGTCTGCGCCCTCGAGCGGGCGCCGGGCTTCTGCCTTGGGCGCTTGCTTCGCTTCTTCTACGACGCCGAGGAGCGTCGCTGCCGGCCGTTCATGTACACCGGCTGCGACGGCAACGCCAACAGCTTCCTCACCTTCCGCGACTGCAGCACCGCGTGCGCCCCACGCCTGCGCTCCCTCCGGTTGGACGAGTCCACTGTCGTGGCCGAGGTGAAGACGCTCATGGACAAGATGGCGGCCAGTGAGATGGGAGGTTCTATCACGCCAGAGCCATGATCGATGGTTTGGGGGAGGGAGTGCGCACAATGCTGTTCTTGTAGGTGAATGCAGTCTGTTTTAAAGGTGAGGCTCAGAACTGTACCGCAATGCATTGTTGCAGCTTTTTGCTTGCATGGGAAGGACACTGACAAGAGTATCGAGAGGTTGATCGTTATGTAGCTTATCATTCCGCTCAATGAAACTCATAGATATGTGTAAATGTGTTCATCCGTGGTTGTGTTCCTGCACAATCTCATTGCGTGTGCATCACCAACAAGGTGTTGTGAATAAACTTTGGTTATCTTGCATCTGGCGCGGTTCGATCTCTGTTCATTTCCTCATCCGCCTCACGTTTGAAGACGCTAACACGCTGCTTGTGATCCCGAGGCAATGCGGTGAAAATGTGCAAGAAGGCCGTGTGTGTTCATTATCTATATTGTAGGTTTGTCATGATATGTCTTGCCGTGGCCCAGCACCTGCACTTATCGGAAAAATAAACGTATTGCGAAGTCCGCCTTGGTCACTTTGAATTTATGTTCACCTACTCGACGGTATCGAGGAAGAACACTGACGGTTTAATGTATATAGTACAGGAACTTAGTTGCAGCTGTAGAAAACATCGTTTCGAATGTTCGCTATAGTAAACATCTGTACTTTGATTTGAAGCCGTGTACTGCGAAACTTGTCCCCCAGCACCAGACTACACCGTGGGACCGTACACATTTCAGGCCTCAAAACACGGGTGGGGTTCCGAGACGTCATGGCAACGCCTCCGAAGATAAAGTCAGAGTTACAAGCAGCACAGTAGATGCGGTAGTTATGCTCGATACATTTTTTTCTCACTGATCTGCGTCCGCATCGTCTCATTACTTCGTTGTATTCTCTATGGGTATTCACCGCGCCTGGACATCGTCCAGAAGAAGCTGAGGACGACGGCAAACCAGTACCAGAACGTCGCTAACAACGCCTCAGAACCGACGAACACCATGAAGTATAGTCAGAGGCCTGTCAGGAAGACATAGACGAGGCCTGTGGTGACGGCTACGCCGTGCAGACTTGTTAAGATCCCATGGCAGGCTAACCATGCCATCACCATGCCGCGCCTCCCTTCAAAGCGCCATGCACCGAGAGGCTGTTGAAGAGCAAATGGGAGGCAAAGACGCTCAAGTTCACGACGCTGACGATCATCAGCGCTCGTTCGCCGTCCGTCTCGTGCCACTCATGTATCATCATTGCAGGGTAGGCGACACGGGTGACGAAGAAGACGAAGGGCGGACAGTAGAGCGTCAGCAGGGTGGTGCCGATGGCGATGCTGCCGTTCCGCAGGTTGAAACAACCGCAGCAGCCCCGCAGGCACATCCTCGCCCCTCGTTACGCTGTCCAGGATCAACAAATTAATCAGAAAAGTTAATGATAGAATGCGGCTGAGTAGCATGTAGTAGTATTTAGTATGATTTGACCCATCTGTAGCCACACTCACAGTTGTTTTACAAATGCATCTGATGCAGTTTGATGAGAACATTGCAATGCCGTTCTCTGCGTGGTCTCAGACTGCTTAGCTTTTGAGATCTCAGGGCGTCTTTTGGGCTCCCTCGTTTGTAGGGTGCGTCTCCGCTCCCCCGTGGGCCCGCTTTTGTGTAGGGAAGATAGGAAAATATTCAGAATGACGAAGACTAAAAATTCGATAGCACGACGATCAAGAACTGTAGCTCGTGTTTGGGAACTGAATAAAAATACGATGGCTGGTTGTGAGGATGTTTGTTGTTCCGTTTTTGCGGATTTTATGTCCTTTACCGGGTAGGTGCATGCTATTTTTCTGTCGTTCATGTTGGAACCCTGTCCGCGCCGTTACCTGTCAGAAAAGCGAGGGCCGAGCCGGGTCACGCCCGGTCACTCACGTTTGAGATTTTATCACCTCTTTTGTTCGACTAGCACTCACTGAAACTACAGATGCGCTGGTCAAATATCTGTCTGCGGCTTACGTCCGCAGGACATCTCCCTGTCAATGAAATGACACAGTGGGCTGTCATTGCTCAACATCTGTCCGGCCAGCCAGACAACACTGGCAGCCGTGATC